ACATTCACCTCCTCCGCTACCGAATAAGAGAGCTGGCCGCACACGGCTTCCCAGTAACACTCCAGCAGCAGGAAGAGCAAATACATCCGCACAGGGCTCCATCTGGCCAACGCGCTCATCATTCCAAAATTCACATAAAGCAGAAGGTAAAAATGGTGCAAAAAATGTCAGCTTCAACACCCGATAAGAAGAAAAAATGTGAACAAACTGTGCTAATTCTTTCGGGAAGCGATCCCTGCCGCATCGGCCCCTATCACTGTCTGAGTTTCTTTGTTCTGTTGACGAAATCATCAGGCACTTTTGGGAGGAGCCCAGCCCTGTGACGAGTGAGCTCAAATGCCACGGTCCACGGTGTCCTCTAGTGGACGTTTGGGCGAACTACAACCAATATCACTCAGCATGAAGACCGGTATCAATGAAGTGCAGAAGAAATACTGTATTTAACACTTCATAAAAACGGAAAGTACACCGTTTTTTAGATGATTTTCCATCATGTCCATTGTATCCAGATACAAACAATGTCACGATCCAGAAACAACCAGATAAGTCGCTGACATGCTCTCTTTAAAACAAACAACAAAGGCAGTCGTTTTCCACAGTAACCTCCACGCCCACTACATCTGTGATGGAGGTGTCACGCTACAATAATGAAAGCAAACGAAGTTATGATATTTAAATGGACACATTCAAGAAGCCGTTAATCATTTCAATCACATTTAGTTCATACAACTCGTTCTTTCAGAATGGCCTAAACATTTGTCCAGGACCATAGACAGCGTCTTACAAAACACGACATCAGAGCTCATTATAAGAAAAAAAAAACAACCCAACAAAAAACTTGAATACGATCCAGGGTATGTAAACACGTGAAGTAAAATGGCAGCTCAAATGCCCCTGCCTCTCATACTAAACATCTCACTATTCTATTTACAATGTCATTGTAACACAACAAACATATCTTAGAATATATTGAAAGTAAACTACTGCACTCTTTTTCAAAGCATGGGACAGCTTTATAAAAAATAGTATGGAATTCTATGAAACCATCATTAACACGTCATAAGTGGAATTTGAAGCAAGTTAATTCCGATGGTTGCGTCAAATCAAGCTTCTGAGATTGTTTTTGCACACAAAACAATTAACATAAAATTAGCAACATTTTATAACAACAATATTTTCTCCCCTTGAATTTATTACATGGAAGTGGAGAGTTATCTTAACACTATATTCGAGTGAACGTACTTCTGAGGCCTTTTTTTTTAAAATTACCAGAAGCAGAACAATGGAAAGCAAGCCTCACAATGTTGGACAGCAGTGATGGCGATTCGGTAAAAAGAAATAAATAAATCATATGTGGAGATGACTGTGTGTGTGAGACATTGTACATTTTAACAAGTACAAACATTTTAAGAAAGAGCTACACCCCTTCCGGTTGTTGACAGATTAAAATGTTAAATCCTCATCATTACTCTTACCATGTCAATGTTCCACAACACAAATGGACAACAAACCGTAATCAAGCCACTTCACTGTTCTTCCTTACCAAAGACAATATTGCAGAATGGGTAATGTGTTGTTTTGACTACAAATATGTCAGCAGTCACAGGAGCTAGTGATAGTAAACCAGATTGACTAAAAAAAAGTAAATAATTACAATTTTGGGTGCTTTCACTGCTAAAAAGTACATTTCGAAACACAATTTTGTGCTTCATAATAGTCAAGCTTTCAAAAAAAAAAAAACGTGAATACGATCCAGGGTATGTAAACAAGTGAAGTAAAATGGCAGCTCAAATGTCCCTGCCTCCTGTACTAAACATCTCACTATTCTATTTACAATGTCATTGTAACACAACAAACATATATCTTACAATATATAGAAAATAAACTACGCCCTTTTGGTCCGAATCTCCCCGGTGCTGGTTCCGATCCGGAAGAGGTTGTTGTTGCCTTTGGGCTCAGACAGGTGATAGGAGAGCAGTGCATTGTAGCCAGAGTCTGCATCCACTGCCCTGATCTTTGCCACAAAGTATCCCGCTTCAGCAGAATAGGGGATGCTCTCACTGTTTACGGAGCCGTGCTCGGAATAGGGAGCCAAAATGGCTGGACTGTTGTCATTCTCATCCAGGATAAAAACGTTTACGGTGACGTTGCTGCTGAGCGGAGGAACACCAGAGTCTGTGGCCTGAACTTTGAACTGAAACGTCTTTAACTTCTCATAGTCAAAAGACTGAAGAACAACTATATCTCCACTTTCTGAGTTAATATTTATCATTGTAGTTATTGGGAGTGAGTCTGTGCTACTTTGCAAAAATGAGTACATCACATGCCCATTTTGATCAATGTCATCATCCAATGCAGTCATCCTATGGAGTGCAGCACCTGGTGGACTATTTTCTTTGATGTAAACATTAATGAGGGGCTCTGAGAAGTGAGGCTTGTTGTCATTAACATCTGAGATGCGCACATTAACAATACTGGTGCTGGACAGAGGTGGAAGGCCTTCATCGGTTGCAGTAATGCTGATATTGTACACAGGTATGCGCTCTCTGTCAAGAGGACCAGCAACAACCAAAGAATAATAATTCTCATAATTTAACTCAAGTTTAAAAGGCATGTCATTTTTAATTTTAGTGAGCACTATACCATTTTTCCCTCCATCTTTATCTAATATTGAAACAAGAGCAACAGCAGTGCCAACTGTAGCATCTTCTCTCACTGTGTGTAACAGTGATGTAACTACAATTTCGGGTGCATTGTCGTTGACATCTAAAACCTCAATTAATAATTTGGCATGTGAAATCATTGGGAAGGTTGCTCCATCACTGGCTTGTACTCTTATTTCGAAGACATTTTCATCTTCAAAATTTAAATGATTTATGTTTGTTACAGTGCCAGATTTGTTATCTATTGCAAATAAATCATTTTGTTTTCCTCTACTGACTTCACTGAAAGAATAGAACACTTGTCCATTTTGTCCTGCATCTAAATCAGTCGCATTTAAGGTTATTATTGATGTGCCAATCTCGATATTCTCATATACGCTAGCTTTGTAGAGCGTTTGACTGAACACAGGGGCGTTATCATTTATATCCAGCACATTCACAATAATAGTCATTGTGCCTGATTTCGGTGGTGTTCCTCCATCAATAGCAGTCAATGTGAGTGTGATCACAGCCTGTTTTTCTCGGTCTAAAAGCCTCTGAAGCACTAATTCTGGTGTCACACTTTCTCCTTGTTGTCCTTCAAGTGAAAAGTGATCATTTTGGCTGAGCTTGTATGAATTTACAGTGTTTTTACCTACATCTGCGTCGTGAGCTGGATGCAGAGGAAATTTAGCTCCTGCTGCTGTAATTTCAGTGATATTTATCACTTGTGATTTACTCATAAATGATGGATAATTATCATTTACATCTAAAATTATTATTTCAATTCGGTACAATTTTAATGGATTATTAATCACGGCCTCAAACGTAAGTGAACACTTGGCTTGTTTTTTGCACAGTTCTTCTCGATCTATTCTCTCATGAACGTAGAGAACACCGGTCTTTAGGTTTACCTCAAAATATTTGCTCTTCGTTCCCGCAACGGTCTGAAACATGCGCGACTCCAAATCCTGCACGTTTAGGCTTAAATCCTTCGCAATGTTTCCCACAACGGTCCCAACATTCACCTCCTCCGCCACCGAGTAAGAGAGCTGGCCGCACACGGCTTCCCAGTAAAACTCCAGCAGCACGAAGATCAAATACGTCCGCACAGAGCTCCATCTGATCGACGCACACATCATCCCATCCATGCGCTTCAGGCATAAAGGTAGAAATGTTGCAAAAATGGTACGACTCTCCACTTAGTGTAAAGGAAAAATGTGAACAAACTGAGTTGATTGTCCCGTGCAACGATCCCCGACACATCAGCTTCTTTCACGGTCTGAGCTTCTTTGTTCCAATGACGAAAAACATCACATACATTTGGGAGGAGCCCAGCGCTGTGAAAGACAGTTACTTTTCAGCTTAAACGGAACAGATCCAACTACCTTACAGTTAGTTACTCCATTGTTCCCGCCATCTTTGTCATTTACAGTAACCAAAGCAACAATTGTCCCCATTTCAGCGTTTTCTTTTACTGGCGTCATCAGTGACGTCACTGTTATTTCAGGGGCGTTGTCATTCACATCAATTATCTCTATTAGCAGTTTAGCGTGTGCAATACGAGGAACAGTACCCTGATCCATTGCTTGAATTCTGACTTCATACGCAGGAGTCTCTTCATAATCTAAACTACCTTTCAAGGTGATTTGCCCCGTTTCTGCATTTAGATTGCTCAAATGCCACGGTCCACGGTGTCCTCTAGTGGACATTTGCGTGAATTACAACTAGTAGCAAACGACGGTGATGCAGAGTTCAATTGTCAAATACATTTTAGTGAACCAATACAATCTCATCAAAAAGGGACAATCACTGGGATTAATATCACCCTCTTCAAGATAAACATCCACGATGAATGAAAGAATTTCCATCAATATGATAAATAGCATCTTGGCTGTGAGGAGTGATTCATATCAGCAATGAAAGATAGCACATGTATGAGTTCAGATATCTGAATTACAATAAGTATTCCTGAAGCTGTTAATTAACCCCCAAGAAGTTTAGTCCTTACAAAGCCAAATGAAAAACCACTTTTTACAATTCAGCACCATGGACAGCATAACTCACAACACTGAAATGCAGTATACAGCCACAATGAAGAAAAACTCTCAAGATTACTTTCAGCTGAATTCACAAACGTTAAAAATACCAATATAACAATTTAGACCGTGCAATACTCAACATCACTATTTTATTACATTTACCCATGTCATTGCAACGATGAACGCGTTCAAATAAGTAAACCAAGCTTTTTTATCCTTGGATGGGACTCTATTTCACAATGACATGGGGCCTTTGCTGTTTTGACCTCAAAACTATTCAGATGTCATGAATTCGAATTGTAGCAAACATGGTGGATTTCAGTAAGTGAACCGTTCATTGACTGCTAAAAAGTTACCTTTTTTAAATATAATTCGAACTTAGTATTTCATAATTATTGAATTTTTTTTACATGTAAATAGGCGTGTAACATATCAATAAACTGCATGTCAGAAAAAAAGAGTTGGAAAATCCCCAAAATGTATAGCCTACCTTGTCAGTGTTCGGAAGGGTCTGAGTCCTGGTGAAGGTGTCGCCTCCATTAATACTGATCAGTTCTGCTTCTACAGGAGGAAAGGGCCCAGGGAAAACCACTACATCACTCTTGAGTGTGTCTGAGCTGAAGCACACGTCGTACTGCTGAGTTGCTTTGGAGTAAGACCAGCTCCCGTCAGGGTGGGTGGTGATCATCGGGGCACTGTATCTATCGAAGGGGCCGTCTGTCTGTCTGCGGCATTTGAAGGCTACTAATGTGATGAGGCTGAGCAGAAAGATGAGCGACACGGCCACAACGGCGATGAGCAGATACAAGTGTAAGGCGGAGAAGCTCTCCTCCTTGCTGGGCACATGTCTGAACGGAGTGTGGATGTCAGCTGTGCTTTCAAGCACCACCACATCAATCGACACAGTCGCTGACAGGGAGGCTTCTCCGTTGTCACAGACTGACACCACCAAGGGGTGACTTTTCAGGTCATTGTCACTCATTCGCCTCTTGGTCCGAATCTCCCCGGTGCTGGTTCCGATCCGGAAGAGGTTGTTGTTGCCTTTGGGCTCAGACAGGTGATAAGAGAGCAGTGCATTGTATCCAGAGTCTGCATCCACTGCCCTGATCTTTGCCACAAAGTATCCCGCTTCGGCAGAATAGGGGATGTTCTCACTGTTAATGGAGCCATGCTCGGAATAGGGGGCCAAAATGGCGGGACTGTTGTCATTCTCATCCAGGATAAACACATTTACGGTGACGTTACTGCTGAGTGGAGGAACACCAGAGTCTGTGGCCTGAACTTTGAAGTGAAATGTCTTTAACTTCTCGTTGTCAAAAGATTGCAAACTGACAATGTCTCCACTCTCTGAGTTGATATTTATCATTGTAGTGAATGGCATTGAGTCTGTACTACTTTGTAAAAATGAGTACGTCACATGCCCATTTTGTTCAATGTCATCATCCAGTGCAGTCACTCTATGTATTACTGCTCCTGGTGGACTATTTTCTTTGATATAAACATTAATGAGGGGCCCTGAGAAGTGAGGCTTGTTGTCGTTAACATCTGAAATGTGCACAGTGATAAAACTGGTGCTGGACAAACGTGGAATGCCTTCATCGGTTGCAGTAATGCTGATATTGTACACAGGTATGCTCTCTCTGTCGAGAGGACCACCAACAACCAAAGAATAGGAGTTCTTATAATTCGGCTCCAGTTTGAAAGGCACATTACTATTTATTTTACAGTGCACCAAGCCATTTTTACCTCCGTCTTTGTCCAAAACGGAGACAATTGCAATCGCTGTGCCAATGCTTGCATCTTCTTTCACTGTGTTCAATAATGATGTCACTGAAATTTCAGGCTCATTGTCATTGACATCCAAAACTTCAATCAACAATTTGGCATGAGAGGTTAAGGGAGAAGCCCCTCCATCACTGGCTCGTATTCGGAGTTCAAATGCATTTGTTTGTTCAAAGTCAATAATTTTCCTGTTTGTTACGATTCCAATTTTTTCATCAATGGAGAACACATTTGTTTCTTCCTCTCTCCCTCCTGCATTGAAAGAATAGAACACTTGTCCATTTTGTCCCGCATCTAAATCAGTCGCATTTAAGGTTATTATTGATGTGCCAATCTCGATATTCTCATATACGCTAGCTTTGTAGAGCGTTTGACTGAACACAGGGGCATTGTCGTTGTTATCTAGTACATTGACTACAATAGTCATTGTGCCTGATTTCGCTGGTGTTCCTCCATCAATAGCAGTCAATGTGAGTGTGATCACAGCCTGTTTTTCTCGGTCTAAAAGCCTCTGAAGCACTAATTCTGGTGTCACACTTTCTCCTTGTTGTCCTTCAAGTGAAAAGTGATCATTTTGGCTGAGCTTGTATGAATTTACAGTGTTTTTACCAACATCTGCATCATGAGCTGGGTGGAGAGGAAATTTTGATCCTACTGCTGTTGTCTCACTTATGTTCAGTTCCTCTTTATGACTGGAAAATAATGGGTAATTGTCATTTACATCTAATATTGTAATTTCAATACGGTACAATTTCAATGGATTATTAATCACAGCTTCTACACCGAGTGAACACTTGGCTTGTTTTCTGCAGAGTTCTTCTCGATCTATTCTCTCATTCACATACAAAACGCCACTCTTTAGGTTTACCTCGAAGTATTTCCTTTTGTTTCCCACAACGATCTGAAACATGCGGAACTCCAAATCCTGCACGTTTAGGCTTAAATCCTTCGCAATGTTTCCCACAACGGTCCCAACATTCACCTCCTCCGCCACCGAGTAAGAGAGCTGGCCGCACACGGCTTCCCAGTAACACTCCAGCAGCACGAAGAGCAAATACGTCCGCACAGCGCTCCATCTGATCGACGCACGCATCATTCCATCCATGCGCTTTCGGCATAAAGGTAGAAATGTTGCAAAAATGTACTTGCTATGAAAGAATAATCGAAAAATGGAATTAATTCTTCCGAGTAACCACCCCTGTCGTAACAGTCTCTTTCACCGTCTCAGCTTCTTTGTTCCAATGACGAATAACAGCACATATATTTGGGAGGAGCCCTGCGCCGCAGATGAGGATGCATTCGTGTTATGGTCCACTGGGCCCTCTAGTGGACAGTTGCATGAAGTACAACAGGCATCACACAACATTGATGCAAATTGATCGCTTACAGTCGCCACTAAGCCCATTACATAAACTATAAAATCTTATTTTAAAATTGCACAGTTTGACTCCAGAGTGTGATACGTAATCTTCATACATGTCACTTTAATCTGGAAATATATCTCAATGGAATGGTTAACATATCAATGCGATAACGATTTAGAACCAGCTGGTAAATTGCTCGCATATTACTTTTTTCAAGATAAACAAAAATGACAGAGTATTTTCCACAAGAATATCCCCGCGACCCCCCTCAACTCCACTGTAACTGTAATTCGATGAATAGTGAAGGTTACAAATTACAAATTCAAATTGAATGGATATATTCCTGAATTACTATTTAATTCTGACAAAATGCTAATTTCATAAACAACCATAAAAATGTGTTCATAACTATGGACAACGCATCTCACAATACAAGACTGAGAGCAGTTGTTGCAAAACAAACATGTACTGTAACATTTTCACCTGTATTTCAGAAAGTGCAAATCTGTGACATGTTGTTGGATTAAATGAAACCCCCTCAAGTGCTCAACAAACTCCCTTTTTCCCTTTTCAATGCCTCAATGTCGCTATATTGTTATTTTTACCTTACCTTATCATTGATGCACAAATTACAGCATGCTGAAATTGAACCACCATACTCCTTTTCTTGGCTTGAGACAGTATTTCATAACAACTATATGAACTCAAAATATGAAACTTTTAAGACATTATAATTGCTTTTTGTCACAATCCCTCTAGATTTCAATGGCTGTGTCATTATACTCCAGGTGTATTTATTCCTTACAAGATGTTTATTAAAAGACCATCATAACTTCAAGTGATGTGTGTTTGTCAATCTAGTTTCTTCAAAAGTGTATAATATAGCGATATACAACCAAGCAGTCTGAAAAGGAATGCATAGCCTACCTTCTCAGAATTAGGAAGAGTCTGAGTCCTGGTAAAGGTGTCTCCTCCATTAATACTGATCAGTTCTGCCTCTACAGGTGGAAAGGGGCCAGGGAAAACCACTACGTCACTTTTGAGTGTGTCTGAGCTGAAGCACACGTCGTACTGCTGAGTTGCTTTGGAGTAAGACCAGCTCCCGTCAGGGTGGGTGGTGATCATCGGGGCGCTGTACCTGTCGAAGGGGCCGTCTGTCTGTCTGTGGCATTTGAAGGCTACTAAAGTGATGAGGCTGAGCAGAAAGATGAGCGACACGGCCACAACGGCGATGAGCAGATACAAGTGCAAGGCGGAGAAGCTCTCCTCCTTGCTGGGCACATGTCTGAACTGAGTGTGGATGTCAGCTGTGCTTTCAAGCACCACCACATCAATTGACACAGTCGCTGACAAGGAGGCTTCTCCATTGTCACAGACCGACACCACCAAGGGGTGACTTTTCAGGTCATTGTCACTCATTCGCCTCTTGGTCCGAATCTCCCCGGTGCTGGTTCCGATCCGGAAGAGGTTGTTGTTGCCTTTGGGCTCAGACAGGTGATAGGAGAGCAGTGCATTGTATCCAGAGTCTGCATCCACTGCCCTGATCTTTGCCACAAAGTATCCCGCTTCGGCAGAATAGGGGATGTTCTCACTGTTAATGGAGCCATGCTCGGAATAGGGAGGCAAAATGTTGGGACTGTTGTCATTCTCATCCAGGATAAACACATTTACGGTGACGTTACTGCTGAGTGGAGGAACACCAGAGTCTGTGGCCTGAACTTTGAACTGAAACGTTTTTAACTTCTCATAGTCAAAAGATTGCAAACTCATGATGTCTCCACTCTCTGAGTTGATATTTATCAAAGTAGTTAGCGGCATGGCATAAGTGCTGCTTTGCACAAGTGAGTATGTCACTTTTCTATTTTCATCAGTGTCAAAATCTACTGCAGTCACTCTATGAATTATTGCTCCTGTTTGACTATTTTCCTTGATGTAAACATTAATGAGGGGCTCTGAGAAGTGAGGCGCATTGTCATTTACATCAGAAATGTGAACATAAACTACGCTGGTGCTGGAAAGAGGTGGAATTCCGTTATCTTTGGCAACGATGGTGATGTTGTAGAGCGGTGCGCTCTCTCTGTCTAGTGGCTCATCAACAAGCAGAGAATAATAGTTTTTGTAATTTTCTTCGAGTTTAAATGGAACTTCATTTTGAATTTGTACAGTCACATGACCGTTTTCACCACCGTCTTTGTCAAAAAGCGACACCAGCGCGACTGCAGTGCCCACAGCGGCATCCTCTGGCACGGCATTGTGCAGTGATGTCACCGTGACCTCCGGAGCGTTGTCATTAACATCCAAAACCTCAACCAGCACTTTGCAATGAGCAGACATAGGGGGAGTGCCTTGATCAGTGGCCTCCACCCTTATCTCGTATGCTCTTTTTTCTTCGTAATCAATATAACCTTTCACCTTAACTACACCTGTTTGAGCTTCAATTTCAAAGACATCCAGCACATGATCTTGATCTTTGCTTCTTAACGAATACAAAATCTCGCTGTTCGAGCCCTCATCAGCGTCAGTTGCGTTCAATGTAATGATTCGCGTGCCTAATGCTGCATTTTCTCTGAGGGTTGTCTTATACAGAGATTCACTAAATGTCGGGATATTGTCATTGTTGTCTAAAACGTTTACCACAAGTTGAGAGGTTCCTGATTTTGGTGGGCTCCCCCCGTCTACAGCAGTCAGTGTCATTGTGATGAGAGGCTGCTTCTCTCGATCCAAAGCTTTCTTCAGCACCAGCTCAGCAGACACGCTGCCGCCTGCTTTATGCACCGCTAATGAAAAATGATCATTTGGACTTAATCTATATGTACTGATGCTGTTTTTACCAACATCTGCATCACTGGCTTCAGACAATGCAAATTTCACCCCAGGCAATGTGCTCTCCGCGATATATAAATTCTGCATTTTCGTGGTGAACAAAGGGGCATTATCGTTCACATCTAAAATGTCGACATCTACACGATACAGTTTTAAAGGGTTGGTAATTACAGCCTCCACACTGATGGCACATTTCACTTCCTCTGTACAGAGCTGCTCTCTGTCTATTCTTTCATTTACATAAAGAGCTCCAGTCTTTAGATTTACCTCAAGGAATTTCTTCTTTGTGGTGGCAACAATCTGAAACAAACGAGATTCTAGGTCCTGCACGTTTAAATTTAAATCCTTGGCGATGTTTCCAACGAGAGTGCCGGGGTTTAACTCCTCCGAGATGGAATAAGAAAGCTGTCCAGACGCTGTTTCCCAATAACACTCCAGTAGAACAAGCCCCAAATAGATCCCAAAGTAGCTCCATCTGCAAGGCATGCTTATATTCAATATGAGCAAAGCATGAATTAAAAAGAATTCCTTATTTTAGCCTGAGCTCTGTCTTCGTTCTTCCGTCCGCTGTCTCTTTTTAACAAAGACTGAATAGATCTCCCCAGCATCTGAAAACGGGAGGGGCCTCAATGCATGAAGAGGAATGCTCTTCCTCTGATAGATAAAGAGCGACGCTCGGTGGTCAAAGTGGTTAGGTGCAGGGACGAGTGAATCCTTCATGATGCTCTCAAGCAGCCATAAAAAAAATAAAAAAAAACACCAAGGATGGGAACATAATATCCTTCCAGTGAATGAGAAACATTGAGGGATTTTAGTGAGTTTTTTTTTTCTGACACCCAAATGGAAACTACTGCGCACAATATCCGCTTGTTTCTATAATACACTACTAAAATCTTTATTTTCTCCCTCACAAGACCTTCATTAGTCTTCTGCACTCTGATTATTTATTTTTTTAATTTAATTTATTTTTACCTTGACGGGAATGAATCAGTTCAACTGATTGAGGAGATGAGCTGATGCTCCCGGTGCTGTAGAGTGCTTTTTGGTACTCCTCCTGCACAATTGTCATCAATTTGTATGAACATCCCTCTGTTTGCTAATCCCACGATTAATCCTTTATAAACTCCCGTCCTATTTTCGCCCATGTGGAAAACATGATTTTATTTGGAGAAAATATTCATAATCATCACACACTGATCCGCAGTCATCTCTGAGCAGCAATACGAATTAATGTCGAACTATGACTATTATGCGAGAATTTATACATGACAAGAGTCTAAGCATGTTCAAGCGAAGCACCTTTTGTCGATATATTCACAAAAAGTTCCCTTTCTCATGACTTGATGATTCGCATAACAGTCAGGTTTCTCAAAGCCAGCACAGAATCCTGGATTATCTTCCTCATAAAATCTACATCACACATATTAATATTACTCAGTACAGAAAAGCCAGAATTTATCTTTTAAAAGCGCATAGCTTATCACAGTTAGCCCCTGACCCCATGACCTTATTTGCTGTTGATTCTAGTTCAACTCTATCCTGCTTTCCAAGAATTTATAAAGCACCCTATAATTGCTTCTCTGCCTAAATTGGATTCATGTGTTTTTTCAAAAATGTCCGCCCGCAGCTGTAATACTGAATCCAACTTGACAGCAAAGTTGGGGCTTTTATTGCAACATGTAGAAAGAAACGCTTCAAACACATCTTGTGAACTACATTTAGCAGTCCTATTAGAGCCTTCTCCTCTAATAGGAAACAGTTCTAATGCAGAAACTAAAAAAATAAATAAATAAACAATTTGCTTTGCTTTTTAAATTTCAATCAACAAGTAATGTCAACATGTTCATCAATGAAGTAACCCTCCCTGAGGAATTAATCATTTACGTGAACAAATAAACGCTTAAAAAGCTACACGCATTTTCCTCTCCTAAGAGTCATTTCTTTGTATTTAGATGAAGATGAAGTAGTAGGTGTATCTTAGAGGGAGAGCAGAGTTAAAAGTAAGAGGTTGAGGGCAGTGGGAGTGTGGTATATTTTCAGTGTGCTTGTTTAAATGATTAAAGAGTGTGTGCCGCATATAGAAAAGCTGCTGCTTATCGCCTTAGCATGCATGGTGACCCAATATGTGTACGTGCATGCTTGTGATGAACCTACAAGGTTGCATACTCTATGTGAGTGGGGGAGTAGAGGTGCCATCTGAGCATGATTCTAGGAGAGCAAGCACTCCCCCTCCCTCCTTTCTTCACTCCCCTTTACATTTCCATAGTAACGGTATCCCCAGCACAGACATGATGCATGTTTGCACACAGAAATACATGAGCAAGACCATGGGTATATTTTACGAAATACACAGGAGTTTTTTTTTTTACCCACTTCTGAAATATTCATCAACATACCTTGATGGAGGCCGCTTTCGTTGAATGAATCTAACCAAATCAGGCCTCAAGTACACACACACAAGTACACCAAAGCAAACAATGCATCCTCTGGTGTGAACTAGTCTGCCAACAGTTGCATCTGGATTGTTCATGCATCGCTAATATTGCACTGCTACAACATATTCACAATGACAATTCAGCTGCAGCATCTTCCTCTCCTTTTACGACCCCCCCGCCCCCACACCACTCAGAAGAAAGCCTGACCTTTTTAATCAGCCCCTGCACAGCCCACAGTGCCCTCGCTGGGCCACGGCTCTGAAGACCACCCCCACTGCCTCCCAGTAAGCGGCACACTTGCACCATGTGATGCAACACTCACAATATATCATGTTCTGCCAAACATCTCACATACATGTCTTTACCCCCTATTTTATTTTTTTAACATTCTTAACAAGTAACTGAGTTGCTGATGGTGTAGTGGTATACTCGCTTGACTTGTCTGCGGGCAGCGTGGGATCGGTTCCCACTCAGTGATGGTGTGGATGTGGCTGTAAATGGTCGTTTGGCTCTTTTTGTGCCCTGTGACTGGCTGGTGACCAGTTCAGGTAGTCTGCCTTCCACCCAAAGTCAGCTGGGACAGGCTCCAGCAACCCCCGGCGACCGTCTTCAGGATAAGCGGTGTTGAAAATGAATGGAAGGATGGAATAGTAGCTGTGAGGTGCCTGAAAATGCTTGAGAATTGAATTGTTTTAACATGGACTGCTCGGGCCACCGCCAAAAGCACACATGCATTAATGAGACAAGAAGTACACCGAGAGCAGAGGTGAATACTTACAAATGCATATTCATAATCAGAATCAGAGGCATCATTAAGTGTGACATCATTCCAAAGAAAAGTTTAAACATCAATTTGGCTCCTGAAATGCCTTTTGAGCTTTGACAATCATATTTATGAGAGTGTGTGTGTGTGTGTGTGTGTGTGTGTGTGTGTGTGTGTGTGTGTGTGTGTGTGTGTGCGTG